CTTTATTTTGAGCTTTTATCATAAAAGTATATTGTCAATGGCTTTTTCATTCATTGAAGTAATCCTGTGATTTGCCATCTTCATCCTGTTTGTATGCTATATTACACTGATTGATTTCCACATGTTGAGTGTTGCTGTGTTCCAACTAAGTTTTTGCTGTTGTTCCAGTCCTGGGGTTTGATCTCAGGGCTTGGGCATTGTCCCTGAACTTTTGTGCTCAAGGCTAGCTCTCTACACTTGAGCCACAGCTCCACTGCTGGCTTTTTGGTGGTTAATTAAAGATAAAAATCTCACAGACTTTCCTGCCAAAGTTGGCTTTGAATCTCAATTCTCAGATCTCATCCTCCTGAATGGCTAGGATTACAAGCCTGAGCCACTAGCACCCAGCTCTAATACTATAAATATAGACAATTTTGTCATATAGTATGACAGGAATGTATGACAAAAACAGCAGAACAAAAGGAAAAGACATATCACACACTGAGAGAATATATTTTAATAGATAAATTTAGCAATTAGAAGCCAGGATTTACAAATAACTCATATATTTAAATATGAGAAAGTTGGACCACTAAAAAGAAGCACACACTGGGCACTAATGGCTCACACCTAAAATCCTAGCTACCTAGGAGCTCTGAGGATCATAATTGTAGGCCAGCCCAGGCAAAAAAGTGTTTATGACTCCATCTCTGATTAACCAGAAAAAAGCTGGACTGGAGGCATGGCTCAAGTAGTAAAGTACAATCAAGTAGTAAAGTACAATCTATAACCAAAAAAGCTTGAGTAAGAACACAATGCCTGGAGTGCAAGCCCTGGTACTTGCACAAAATAAAATATTTTTTTAAAAGGGGTGGGGGAGCTGGGTGCTGGTGGCTCACGATTGTAATCCTAGCCATTCAGGAGGCTGAGATCTGAGGATCGAGGTTCAAAGCCAGCTAGAGCAGAAAAGTCCCCGTGAGATTTTTGTGTCTCCAATTAACCACTCAAAAACTGAAAGTAGTGCTGTGGCTCAAGTGGTAGTGCTAGCCTTGAGCACAAAGAGGCTCAAGGACAGTGCCCAGGCCCTAACAAACAAAAAAAATAGGGAGGGAGGGGATTTCAGTGGCCAATAACCTTATTTAGATGAACAATAAGAGATTGGGGGTATGGCTAAGTAGAACACCTGCTTGACAAGCACAAGACCTTGAGTTCAAACCCCAGTACCACCAAATACAGATATATATGTAAATTAGATGATTAGATACAGATTATCTAGAGATAGACTAAGACAACAACTCAAAGTAGTGCACAATTTTAGCACTGTCTGCCATTCCTCACCTGAGGGTTTGTTTGAGGAATTGCCATCCTATGGGGAACAGACTCTTCCCACTGTCTATGAAAATGGCAGATGTTCCTTCCCCCTTACCCCCACCCAGAACACTCGGGTGTGACTAAAGCTCAGGGCAGCTTTGTGGATGTGGATGGCATGCACATCTCTCCAGCTCTGTTCCCTGCAGCGCAGGGTATTTGGCAGGAGGACAATGTCTGCCTCAACAAGCACTCTTCCATCTGCATCTCTGGGAGCCTGGTGTTCCAGCTCTCTAGGAGATCCTAAATGCTTTTCATAATTTCATTTTCTGCTTAAGTAAAACATCTACTTACATCAGAGTAATGCAAATTCAAACAACCACAAAATGCCACAGTACAAGATAAGAAGAAATCAGAATATTCCTACATAGCTGGAAGGAAGGTAATACTTTGTAGATAACTGTGGAGAAGAGCTTGTTAATGTCTAATAAATTCAAATATATATATATATATATTCTCTAATAAAGCTATTTTATGACCCAGAATTTCCCTTCTAGTTATATTTCATAGGAACAAATGCAAGACTTTTCACTGAACTACAGCTGAAAATACTCTAAAGCAATCTACTTAAATGGTAGCCAGTGGCTCTTACCTGCAATCCTAGCTACTTAGGAGGCTAAGATCCAGATCTACTTGCTTAGGTGGAATTGTGTTCAAAGACAGCCCATATAAAACATCCCAAAGCACAGTTCCAGTTGCAGAAGGCACTGCCCCAGCCAGAGCTTTCAAACAGCTTGTGTCAGATTTTCTACCATAAGGGGCATCAGTGAACTCTAGCAGCCATTTTCACCCAGGGCAGGCCAGAGGGGGAGCACTTCCCTTTGTGCCCCAGCAGAAGGCTTTTGATTGTCGAAAATATAGTTCTTTAATTTGCATGAAGAGCTGTCCTATAATTGGTGAAATATGCAAATGAAGGATATTGCAATTGGTGTAAACATCCTTGTCACACCCCCTTCCTGGCTGCAAAAGCAGGCCAGTTCTGGTCTTTTCAGATCAACCCTCAGATGCCTTTCTGTGCTGCCCCCTGGTGTTATCACATTATGTAGAACAAAAGGGTTCCTTCCGGCCCCTCACTGGTGGCTCAGGCCTATAATCCTAGCTACTCAGGAGGCTGAGATCTGAGGATCCTGGTTCAAAGCCAGCCTGTTCAGGAAAAGTCTCATCTCCAATAAACCACTCAGAAAACCAGAAGTGGCACTGTGGCTCAAGTGGTAGAGTGCTAGCCTTGAGCTGAATATCTGAGGGACAGTGCCCAGGCTGAGTTCAGGCCCCATGACCAAAAAAAAAAAAAATTCCTTCCATTGTCTTTGCTAGCCTACGCTTTTGATCTTTTTTTTTTTTTTTTTTGGGGGGGGGCCGGTCGTGGGGCTGGAACTCTGGACCTGGGCACTGTCTCTGAGCTCTTCAGCTCAAGGCTAGCACTCTACCACTTGAGCCAAAGCGCCACTTCCAGCTTTTTTCTTTTTGCTTATGTGGTGCTGAGGAATCGAACCCAGGGCCTCATGCATGCAAGACAAGCATTCTACCACTGAGCCACCTTCCCAGCCCACACTTTTGATTTTTATGGTGAGTAAAGCAGTAGAGCTAGTAATATGACTGGGTATAGCAGAGGTAGCAATAGTAGTGGCAATAGAGCAGGCAGCACCATGACAATTTCAGAGGGTATCCAGAGGAGATGGCAGATTCAGCCAAACACCTGGAAGTATCCTGGAGCTGCCAAGATCTAAGGGCTGAGATTCCAAACGTCTACTGCTAAAGGCAGAGGGTTACAATAGGTGTTCGTGCCTAGCCATGGGCAATCGAAGCCTAGCTCAATAAACCTTCTACTTGCTTCATCCTGGCCCAGGAGCCTGGAACTGTTAAGTCTAAATCTCAGAACTAGGACTGTCAACCTCTGGTCTTAAATCTCAGAACTAGGATTGTCAACCTCTGGTCTGTCAGCCAGTCCATTTGTTTTTGGTACTCAAGGGCCCAACCTGACAAAACTAGATGTACTGTATTCTCAATCTTTCTTCTCTTTCTTTCTTTTTTTTTTTTTTTTTTGGTCGGTGGTGGGGCCTAATGAAAGGATCCGTCACATCCATCCCAGGGAACCATGTGGAGGCAGACAGGCACAGGAGAAAGATTATTAGAAGGTTTATTAGAGGAGCCATATTTGCCCCAGAGAGAGAGAGAGAGCGCATGGCAGCCTCTATGTAAGTAGCAGCAGGGTCTGGGGGATAGGAAGTGAGGTAGATGGAAGTTCAGGTGAGTCTGGGTGGAAAGAGGGAGGGGCCAGCAGGTCTGGGTGAAGTTGAGGACCAAAAGTGGGCATAATGTTTACACTTGAACTCTAAGCCCTGGTTGATGTCCCACAGCTCTTCAGCTCAAGAAGAGCACTCCACCACTTGAGCCACCTCTGGTTTTCTGGTGGTTTATTGGAGATAAGTGTCTCAGGGACTTTCCTGGCCAGTCTGGCTTTGAACCGCGATCCTCAGATCTCAGTCTCCAGAGTAGCTCGGATTACAGGTGTGAGCCACCGGGGCCAGGCTCGCTTGGCTTTTTTCTGCGGAAGTATAGCACTAGAACCACACGGCTCCACTTCCATGGCTGGTCGTTTTTATAAGATGATCGAAACCACACACACACACCCCTCAAGACAATGTTTTTATAAGATGATCGAAACAACACACACACACACACACACCTCACGACAACGTTTTTATAAGATGATCGAAACAACACACATACACCCATGATCGAAACAACACACATACACCCCTCAAGACAACGTTTTTATAAGATGATCGAAACAACACACACACACACACACACACACACACACACCCTCACGACAAAGTGTAACGTGGACTCCAGGCAGAACCCGCAGGCCCCGCCTCCGCGCGTCACGCGCCCGAGCTCTCCCGCCGGTGAGGGCGCGGTCTCGGGGACTGTACCATACTGGAGTGGCCGTCAGAACCGAGCGAGGGAGGCTTACGGTTGCCATGGGAGGAGTGGCTGAAGTCCCTGGCTTACGATTTTGAGTTGCACCGTGCAGTCGTCGTCGTCGGTGCGCTGCTCACTGTGGCTCGCTACGAATTCCCCGCGAGTGTTGGACTCTTCCGTTCTTTGGCCTCGTCAGTGGACGAGTCTAAACACAGACACGTAAAGGGGGGGAGTGTAAGTCAATTGGTGTCCTTTAAAGGTGAAGACAGCATAATCAGAGCCACCTGTTGAACTTCCAGCTTTCTGTGGTACTTGACTTTTACCTCCACCTTGTCTTCATCCAATTCCGTACATGAAAATTACTTTTGAAGCCTGCCTGGAAGGGCCTCAAATAGTTCAACCCTCTCCCCGCAGCGCCCGCTGGGAGAGGGAAAGCAGCGGCTGCCATTTTGGCCCGAACCATTCGCTAACGAAAACGAGGTGGTGATGGCTTCCAGTGAACTAGTCACTGCCCGGAAGGAAACAGTCATGATCGAATCCAGTACTTCTTTATCCCGGATACGGTGCCGTTGACCGTCATGAGACATCCTTTCCTCCATAAGAACTTCCTCGGGCTCATTCTGAGGACTGAGGGCGTGGGTCTCCCCCCTCTCCGCATATTGGTACAGCCCTTCCCCAGTCGCACGCACATGGCTTCGCGCTAGCCGGCGCGCGTTGCATCCTGGGAGTCGGAAGCACGGCGGGTGGCGGCGGTGCCCCGAGTGAGAGACCGCGCGAGGCCCATGCAGGACGCGGAGAACGTGGCGGCGCCCGAGGCGGCCGAGGAGCGGGCTGAGCCCACGCGGCAGCAGCAGCCGGCAGCCGAGCCGCCTCCCGAGGAGGAGTCGGCAGGGTCTGGCTCACCCGGGGTGGCAGTGACTGCGGACGCCGACGAAGAGACGGCGGCCGAGTCGGAGGCCGAGGTGAGGGCCGAGCGGGCGGAGGAAGACGCGCCAGCCCCCGACGGGTCGCCCCCGCCGCGGTCCCCCGAGGAGGCCGCCCCGAAGGTCGAGACCCTTGCTCCGGCTCAGGCCGATGGTCCTGGGGAGCAGGCCGATGAACAGTCCCTCGATGGCCCAGCCAGTGGGTCGGCTGAGGAGGCGAGCGGTCCCGAGGCCGGCGCGGCCGAGGCTGAGCCGCAGGCAATAGAGAACGGCGAGGCGGACGAGCCTTCCTTCAGCGACCCCGAAGACTTCGTGGACGACGTGAGCGAGGAAGGTGAGGGGCGTGTGTGTGGCCGAACCCAAAGGAAGGATCCGCAGTACGGCGAGGATGTCGTGGAAGTCACCCCGGGCGGCAGAGCGGGCTCGGGTTTGCCTCAACCGATCCTCTGGTCTCTTCCTCCAAAAAAGAGGGGCCAGGAGAGGTCATTCGGGAAGCTTGTACACTAGCAGGCGTTTGGGGAGCGTGGGGCGTGGTGGAGCTGGGGTAGGTATGCATAAAGTGTAGCAGCTGTGGGCAGAGGTGGACGCCCAAGGACCCCATCGCTGGCCAAAACAATAGGGAGGGACAGATCTCGAAGAGCTGAATGACCGTGTCCCCTTCTTGCACAGAAGGGTCTTTCCAGCGAAATCTGGCTAAGCCAGTCACATTCTCATCTTTCTTCTCTTTTCCCCTATTTTTCTGTCTCTGTGTTTGTGTCGATTTCTGCCTGCTTCCTCCTCTAGGGCAGACCATCATACCTGTATTGAAGATTGCTTTTCCAAATCACAACCTTGCTGTTTTTTTTTTTTTTCCAGACCTTGAAAATACAAGATTTTGGTGGCTTTACAGGCATTAATTTCTGCCCTCCATTCTGGGAGTATGCCTCCAAAAGTGACTTCTGTTGATAGATCTCCTGAACTTTAGCTTTTTTAACTCCCCAGGCTGAGTGCACAACCAGGCTTTTTTTTTTTAAATGTCTTGACTAAACATCAAAGCAGGGGGGGGGCAGGGAGAGAGACAGATAAATACCACTTAAAATCTAAGTTTGGGTTTTGAGGCTCGTTTGAATTTCAATTATTTACAATTCAGATTTTTTAAAACATGTGTAAGCCCATCTAACTCACAGGTGTTAATGGGGATTTTTCATAGAATTGAGGTGTACGACATTTAGGATGTCAATATGAACACAAGTCATACCCCCCCTGTATGCAATGCTATGGGTCCTCTGAAGCCCATGTCCCTGATGTGAGCATTGTTGGCCAAGATGACAGGAGGTGGCTGGTCCTAGAACTGGAATTCAGGGTACCAACTTCCTTTGGGCCACAAAGGTGGGGAAGTCACAGTGTCTCTGCTCTTTTCTAGATGGACAGAATCTAGGAGCAGCAGCTTGTCTTGTCTTGTCTCCTCCTCTGTTTTCCTTCACCTTAATGATTCTGCTGCCTTTGGTGTGTGTTCAGACAAACATGGGGTCAGGATTTTTAACACCAGTGTCTTTGACTCACCAGGTATTTTTTTTTAATGTGTCTCCTGGGAGTAGTGGTACTTGAAGCAGTCCAGGGTGGTAGAGGCAGGAGGATCAGGAGCACCAGGCCAATCTGGGCTACATAGCTATATCCTGTCTCAAAAGATGTCTTTTTGTAGTTACATCTTTTATTCCTTTCTTAGGTGTGAGCAAGTTGTTAAAGGATAGCTAGATGCTTTGAGCTTGTGGGAAAGAATCTACAGTTCATATGCAAGCTGAACTTTTTATTGTGAGCCTTGTAAGTTCAAATGTAGCTCAACAAATAGGCTACTTAATTGTATGGTGAACGCCTTTTAAAGGAGACCTAAGGATTTCACTACAGTTCCTGTAATGAGGATATCTAGCACTAATGTGATTCTAAGCCTCCCCTTTTCCTCTCTTCTTTTTTCCTGGTTTCTACTTGTGCATCTTGATTATAAGTGACAAGTATTTTTTCCCCCTTGCCCTGTTATTGGGAACTGATCCCAAGGGCTTTGAGTATTCTAGGAATGCACTTAACCACTGAGCTACCAGCACCCTTTTAAAATATTTTTAACTCAGGCACCAGTTGCTCATGCCTGTAATCTTAGTTACTCTCAGGAGACTGGGACCTAGAGGATTATGGATTCAGTCCAGCCTGAACAGAAAATTCCATGAGGCTTCATAAAAGGAAAATATATGTATACACACACATGGGTTTTTTTTGGGGGGGGGGTCCGGTCATGGGGCCTGAACTCTGGGCCTGGGCACTGTCCCTCAGCTCTTCAGCTCAAGGCTAGTGCTCTACCACTTGAGCCACAGTGCCACTTCCTGCTTTTTTTTCTTTTTGCTTATGTGGTGCTGAGGAATCGAACCCAGGGCCTCAGGCATGCAAGGCAAGCGCTCTACCTCTGAGCCACCTTCCCAGCCCCTAACACACACATAGTTTTGAGATGAGGTTCAATATGTTGATCAGGCAGACTTTGAACTTGAAATCCTTCTACCTCAGCTTCCTGAGTAGCTGGGGTTATAGGTGTAAGCAACCAAGTGTGGCTCCTTCTTTAGCTGTTGCTTTAAAAAAATTACCCAGTAGTCTGATCTGGGTATGTTACTAATGTAGTTTAATCAGTTGGGTGTTCTTTGATGGCAGGTTTAAAGGGATATTTCTTTCCCAGCTCCTAGTAATGTTCACCTGTTTTTTTGGTTTGGCTTGTTTTATTTTCCCGGTTGTGGGGCCTGAACTCTGGGCCTGGGCACTGTCCCTCAGCTCAAGGCTCTACCACTTGAGCCACTGCTCCACTTCCAGCTTTTTCTGCTTATGAGATGCTGGGGAATCAAACCCAGGGCCTCATGCATGTAAGACAAGCACTCTACCTCTGAGCCACCTTCCCAGCCCCTTTGTTTTGTTTTGTCTATCATAGGGCTTGAACTCAGGGCCTGGGTGCTGTCCCTGAACTCTTTTGCTCAAGGCTACCATTTTGAGACACAGCGACACCATGGTTTTCTGGTATTGGAGATAAGAGTCTCATGGACTTTCCTGTCATGATCCTCAGATCTCAGAATTGCTAGAATTACAGGTGTGAGGCACCAATGCCTGGCTAATGTTCACCTTTGTTAACTGGAGATAGGACTTACATTTGTGGATATTTAAAAGATGGAGTTTGTTATACCTCCCTTGTGCTGGTGTTTTTGTTTTTTGTTTTTTTGCTGGTTGTGGGGCCTGAACTCTGGGCCTGGTTACTGTCCCTCAGCTCTTCAGCTGAAGGCTAGCGCACTACCACTTGAGCCACAGAACCACTTCCGGCTTTTTCTGCTTATGTGGTGCTTAGGAATCAAACCCAGGCTCTCATGTATGCAAGGCAAACACGCTACCACGGAGCCACCTTCCCAGCCCCTGGTGTTTTTGTTTTTGTTTTTATCTGTGTTGGAACTTTATTATTTACATGCATATGGGCCTGAGAAATCTCAAAACAGCAGTAGACAATGCCCACTGAGTCACAACTATTCCTAGAGCTCTAGTATACTTTTCCAGAACCATTTGTATGTTACTGTTTTCCCCCTTTATCTTTCTTAAAACCATCTACTTTTCTGTTTTACTGTCTCTGACCATTTTAATGGAAATTAGTTGATTTTAAGGAAGTTGAATGCTGGGGTATTTTTGTCAGTCATGAGGCTTGAACTCAGGGCCTAGACACTGTCCCTGAGCTTCTTTTGCTTGAGGCTGACACTTGAGCCACAGCACCACTTCTAGCTTTTTCTGTTTATATGGTACTGAGGAATCGAACTGCATGATAGGAAAGCAGTCTACCACTGAGCCACATTCCCAGCCCAGGTTTTATGTTTTAAAAGCAAGTGATAGGTTAGGCACTGGTGGCTTGTGCCTGTAATCCTAGCTACTCAGGAGGCTGAAATCTGAGGATCATGAGCAGGAAAGTCCATAAGACTCTTATCTCCAATTAACCAGCAAAAAACCAGAGGTGGCTCACCTTGAGCTGAAGAGCTCAGGGACAGTGCCCAAGCCCAGAGTTCAAGCCCACAACTGACCCCCCCTCCCCCCCCAAAAGAAAAGCAAGTGATAGCTAGGCTCTGGTGGCTCACACCTGAGATCTAAGGATCAAGATTTGAAGCTAGCCTGGGAAGGAAAGTTCATGAAACTTATCTCCACTTAACCACCAAGAAGCTGGAAGTAGAGCTGTGGCTCAAGTGGTAGAACATTAGCCTTGAGCAGAAATGCCCAAGGACAGACCTCAGGCTCTGAGTTCAAGCTCCAGGACACCTATGTACACACACACAAACATGTGACATGTTTTTTTTTTTTTTTTAATCAGTCCTGGGGCTTGAACTCTGGGCTTGGGCACTGTCCCTCACCTCTTCAACTCAAGACAAGCACTCTACCACTTGAGCCACAACGCCACTTCTGGTTTCTAATAGTTTATTGGAGATAAGAATCTCACAATTTCCTGCCCTGCCTGGCTTTGAACTGAGATCCTCAGATCTTAGCCTCCTGAGTAGCTAGGATTACAGGCATGAGCCACCAGAATCCAGCAGCACATCACATCTTTTTATGGTGTAGTTGTAGAAATAAAATAGCACACTACCATCTTGATTGTCCTTCAAGCTGTCCTTAAGCTTTCACAAGCTTCACCATTTCCTCCCAACAGCCTTGTCAGGTGCTCATCAAAACACACAGCATCACTAGCAAGTGCCTTTTTTGGGGGGGGGGGTCTGGTCATGGGGCCTGAACTCTGGGCCTGGGCACTGTCCCTCAGCTCTTCAGCTCAAGGCTAGTGCTCTACCACTTGAGCCACAGCGCCACTTCTGGCTTTTTTCTTTTTGCTTATGTGGTGCTGAGGAATCGAACCCAGGGCCTCATGCATGCAAGGCAAGCGCTCTACCACTCAGCCACCTTCCCAGTCTGTGCCTTGCTATTTCTGTACAACTGGGAAAGACAAACTGCTGCTGCTGAACTCAGTATCTTTAGTCCCCATACTTTGAATTGCCTCTGCTTCTCTGTACTTGTTTGCCAACCAGATGGTAGTGATGCTATATGTAATAGGATCTGGTATTTGCTCTCAGCTCCTTGATCTTGGCACCCTCCAAGTAACCTAGGGACCTCCAGAGTGATAGATTTCTAAATAGCTTTGCTGGTACCAACCACGTGATTAGAGGAGTGGCACTGGAAGCCTCTGGGGAGGGGAGGGGATGAAGATTGAATCCTTTCACTAATGGCCCATCACTAATGAAGAGACTCAGGGGGACTGAGAGAGCCTCAGAATAGTATATAAGGACCAGTGAAGGTCCTTACAGGGTGATAGGAAGGGCTGGAGGGCAAGAGCCCCCTTCAGGCAGGCTTCTACTTTTGCAGCTCTGTCTTCTGATTCTTTGTTTTGCCGGTTGGTCCTGGGGCCTGAACTCTGGGCCTGGGCACTGTCCCTGAGGTCTTCAGCTCAAGGCTAGCACTCTACCATTTGAGCCACAGCACCACTTCCAGCTTTTTCTGTTTATGTGGTGCTGAGGAATCGACCCCATGGCCTCATGCATGCAAGGCAAGCACTCTACCACTGAGCTACCTTCTCAGCCCTCTTCTGAATCTTTTGGAATAATCCTTATAATGACCCAGTAAGGGGAAGTCAAAAGTTCCCCGGAGCTCAGTTAGTTGCTCTAGCCAGTTCTGGCACACAGTGAGTGCTGTGGACCCTACAGAGGTAGAGGGTCTCCACCCTTGCCCCTTTTCTGGTGACAAACCTGCTCTTCACCCGCACAAGAAAGCAAGAGTGGGTCTGGGAACTGGATGGTAGACGAAACCAGTGTCTTCTCCTTGCTCGTCTCTTCCTTTTAATTAATTATCTCTTCTGTCTCCTCCCTGAGTAGTTCTAGTAATTTGTACTCACTGAAACAAAAGTGCTTTGAATGTGTGAGGCATGTAAATATTTGTTTATTTGGTAAGATCTGTGAAAAAGCCGACTTCAGGGTCCTATGCAGTTGACACTGGAATGGGATTTTCCCCAGATGTTGCCTTAAAGCTTTTGATATCCAGGAATCTTTGGAAGATATGGTATTAGATGTTGTTCAAGTTTTCCTTGTTTGCATTTGCATATTAAAGCCCCTTTTATTCTTTGTAAGACTTCCATTATTGCCAGAAGCTGATGATCAAATCACAGGAATTGTGACCATTGGAGTCTTTGTGGTTCTTTTGCAGTTAATTTCTGAAGCAACCTAGGATGATGGTTTCTTCTTAGAAATGGGTCCAATGTTTTGAGCTAATGCATTCATGTGTCTCCTGTTGCACCACAGAATTACTCGGGGACATACTGAAAGACCGGCCCCAGGAGGCAGATGGAATTGATTCTGTGATTGTAGTAGACAATGTTCCTCAGGTGGGTCCAGACCGACTTGAGAAACTCAAAAATGTCATCCACAAGATCTTTTCCAAGTTTGGGAAAATCACAAATGACTATTATCCTGAAGAGGATGGAAAGACAAAAGGGTAAGTCACCCCCTTGGTGTAAGTAGCTTTTGCATCCCTTGGTGTCATGTCTGCCACATGACTGTTATGTTCCCTGTGGGAGCACAGAGGATATCTGCTTGCAAGAACACTGCAGGGTATTTACTTGGCACCTGGCTGGGAGGAGGCAGGAGGGCTCTTAGGTAATGGAGTTGTGAATTGGTCATTAAATCTCCCATGCTTTAGGGACAAGCAGTTGGTATTGTGGGGAAAGGCACCAGCTGATCCTGAGGCTTACAGGATTTCAAGGATATTTATCCCTTTATCTCTCTCTTCTCCTTCCCTCCCTTCCTCCCTCCCTCTATATTTTTTTCTTTATTTTGTGCTGGTATTGGTACTTAAATTCAGGGCCTTGAACTCTTGCTTGGCTTTTTTTGTTCAAGGTTGATAATGTAGCCACATCTTTAGCCATATCTCCACTTCTGGCTTTTTGCTAGTGAAAATCTCGTTCCTGGTATTACCTAAAATAGTAGGTATCTTTTGAAGATGATACGTGACCTACATTTTGCCTTTTTTTTTTTTTTTGGTCCGGTCCTGGGGCCTGAACTCTGGGGGTCTGGGCGCTGTCCCTCAGCTCTTCAGCTCAAGGCTAGTGCTCTACTACTTGAGCCACAGCACCACTTCCGGCTTTTTTTTCTTTTTGCTTATGTGGTGCTGAGGAATTGAACCCAGGGCCTCAGGCATGCAAGGTAAGCACTCTACCTCTGAGCCACCTTCCCAGCCCCAACATTTTGCCCTTTTTGTCCAAAAGCAGGTCTTCCACATTGATGATCCTGCTTCCATAGAAATCTTTGATTTTTATTTACTGTCTCTGAGCTTTTTCCAGTCAGGGCTAGCCCTCTCCCACTTTGAGCCACAATGCCTCTTTCTGTTTCCTGGTGGTTAATTGGAGCTAAGAGTCTCATGGTCTTTCTTGCCCAGGCTGGCCTCAAACCATGATCCTCAGATCTCAGTCTCCTGAGTAGCTAGGTTTATAGACGCTAGTCTGAAGTCTTTGATTTTATTTATTTGCTTGTTTTTTTGTTGTTGTTGTTTATTCATTGAGTCTTTCCTACAATGTGGGTTGTCTTTCTTTTTATGATCTTTAAGTAGTTGTACAAAGAGGTTTCAGTTCAACCCTTTATCTTTATTTACTTTTTGTGACATCAAAGCCTGAAGCATTCAAGCCTACTGAGTCACCCCCACCCCCATCCTACCCTACCCTCCAATTCATGTAAATATTGGGGGGTTCTATTGTCTCTGTTTGCTTTGTGATTATAAGCAGTCCAAGCCCATGTCCTGCTCTTGAAGGGTGGTAGAGAGTGTCGAGTACACCCAGGAGCAAGGCTATAGAGCTGTGCTTGCTGCAAGTCCAGTCCTGAGTGAGT